TGTGCTGGATGATTTTGTGTCACGCAGACTGGTAAGATAACCGTTTGATAGGGGGCACCGCGATGATTCACGGGGCCCCTCCTTGCTGTGGGAGCCGCTCTTTGAGTACTCCCTCTTTCGTCCGTGTGAAGGACGGTGGTCTACCTCCCGTGAATTTAATACATCACCAAAACAGTCTCACCCGATTAATAAGTGGCGTAGGCCGCAAACAGGTTTACCAATAATATCCTAAATATGATACATAGACTACATGTAGGACGAAGGGGCTTGACTGCGAAGCTGTTGAGATGTCTTATTTATCCGCTCGGCGCGACAACGGGAGATATGTGATATTTTTGCCGAGAAACATGTGAGAAAATGATGTCGCCGCTTGTTACCATTGCCTTTTTCGTTTTTTTCCTGAATATAGGCGTTGGGTGTGTGTGATGACGTCATTGGTTTAACCAGGGTGTCTTCATTAAATTTGTGCACCGGCATCGTGGAAGACTCCTTCAGTGCGGAACGATTCCTCGTCGGTATCGATGTTTACACTGCTGTGTCTGACACAGATGATCTGGATAGATTCGGGTGATTATCAATTGCCATGGTGGCTTTGGTTGTTTGTTCTTCTTCGTTGATTGGATGTCCAGGGATTCGTTCTGATAGCACTTAAGACAGCCGCTGCACGCCCCGAGCTTGCTTGTGTACCATGTACCATAGTGATATTATTGTACAGACAGCACATCAGACAGCAGTACGCTGTAGTTGTAGCTGTAGTCGACAAACATTCATTTGGTTGAGTGCGGGACGGTGTTGGTCACATGCCCTTGGATAATTGATCTTCCTTTGCCCGCCTGTCACGCTCTGGGCTATCACGCCCGTGTCCATACTACATATGTATCCACCAGCTATCACGCGGCCAGGCTGTCACGCCTCTAGGCTATCACGCCATCATAACAGCTATCACAACACCAGCGTCAACACATCAGAGCCATCACGCTCCGGAACATCACAGATAGATGCGGCGGGTTACCACACCCACCCGCAGGCAGTTTGCTGTATTTTTTTCTTTGCCAGTAAACTCGCCGCGCGGTTCTTTTATATTTGCCGTCTACAACTAACTGCACCGTGCGCACCAAGCTCGCCAACAGATTCGTTGGGTCATAGGTGTTGCTGTACCCTTCTCGCGATAAAAATATCTCAACCAGGAAACGCAGGAGGGGGTCCATCCCGCCCCTCCTATGTGACCGCGGTTGGGTCGTCTAGCTGGTAGAAGTGGAGTATAGGGGCCAGAGTGGCAGACGACAACAACAGTGTCCAATGATCGGAAAAAAAGAAAATAATAGTAGAAAATATAAAAAAAAAGAGCAACTGACGAAAAACACAATCAATCGCGATCACACCGACACGCCAACATTAGCAACATCAAGACACAGCTCGCGATGCCCTACTAAGATTGCAGGTACGACCTAAACGCATTTCGGAATGAGCAGGCCTACGGTCCTCTCGACATGGTGCTATCTTATCCTCCTTAACATGTTTTTCCGTGGGAGCAACACCTACCTCCGCTGTGCAACACCACCCGCAAGCAACTCAGTGGCTATTTTCTGTTCCGGCTGCAGGCGTAATCATTTTTCGGCGGGTTGATGGGCGCTGAGCTCTGATGTTCGTGTCGTATGTATGTACACTACACATAGGTTACAGCAGTAGCAGATGGTATTTTTGTTACACGATGCGCAGCAGCAGAACCGCGGGCGAAATCCTTACTGATAACTGTTGACAGAGAGGCCACCCAGAGAGGCCACCCTGAGAGGCCACCAATTGCTGTTATTCTGTTCTCTGGTATCCGCAAGGCGCTACTACTGCAGCAAGCAGCCTGTCAAATATATCCGCTTGAACACATGTGCGGAGTAAAATAGCAAACTGTGTCAGGGACATGAATGACCGTGGTGAAGGGCGAAAGGATGACGGCCAGAAAGATATGTACTGTTGTGGATCGTTTGAACTTTGCTGCTGTGACACTTTCGGCATGCTGCTATGGGTTTTGTACGGCTACACCCTTCCCGGACCTTTTTGTGGGGTGTCTCACATAGATCGGTGTTTGTGGTCCCCATATACGAGGATGCGGGGATGCGGGTGCACCAACACAATAAACAATAAAATCTCCTGTAAATTTCTGCACCAGACGTCACACAACGCCCAACCAATCAGCAAGCGTTAGTCCCAACGAGTTACTATCAATGTGTACACAGCAGTGTCATTAAGGGGTAGTGCAAGATGAAGCCAGGCAGCAGGACCAGCCCACAGCTGTCTACCTCCTGCTATGTGCGATGTAACAGCTCCAAGAATCGAATCCAGCGACGTCCACGAACCCAAAAAAAGAACTCTAGACTATGCATACCGTGTATGACACAAGATAACACACCCCCTGGACCGATTTTCAAAGCTCGATTTCTCCACGACGAAGAGAATTCATAAGCGAAACGATACATTATTGATAAGCTCTTGACGAGAATGTATCAACGCCGCCGTTTTCGGCGATGTGACCGTTCCTGCAGTTGAGAAATCGAGCTCCGGAAATTGGTCAAGGGGGTGCGTTATCTTGTGTCATATACGGTAGTCTAGTCAACATACCCTTTTTACTATACTCTGCCCTAGCCTTTCGCATAAGATACAACCACCACCTTGACCGAAATCCCAAGGTTGACTACTATTTACATACGTTATCTGTGCGACCGGGCTACGGGGTACGATGGTTTAGCTCGTTGAAACAAGTGCTTGTTTTTATCGCACCTCAGTGCCATCTCCCTGAGAGGTGCGAAGCCACCGTACGTAGTCTACTGGTGCGCCAATGCATTTTTTTTGTTTCGCCTCGACTGCTCCACAATGAATGAAGCTCTCTTTTGCCAACGCACCCCGGTGCGACCTCCGACGGGTGGGTGGGTGCGATCTTGAGTAAACACAACGGCGTATCCACTTGCTCTACATTCGCCCCGGTGCAATGACGTCGAAGGTGTGATCCTGATTGTACACCACAGCTTCTTCCTGGTACCAGCAGATTTGCCGTAAGTTAGCGCCCGCAATTAGGAAACGCTTAGACTACTTCAGGTCTAGCCTCGAATTCTTATTGTGTGCTATAAGCTCAGCGTATGTAGTTCTTCAGGTTCTTTTGTCAAGATTCTTGTTTTTTCGTGCCTCCAAATCCTGCTGAGTTTCTCAAATCGGCAATTTCTTACTTTCTCTGCTTTATTTAGTCTATGTGTACACAAACGTTCGAGACAAACAATGATTTGCACTGCTTGCGTTCCTTGCCTCCGGTACTCAATCCCGATTCTCACTACCGACGGCTGTACACAAGGCCGAAGCAAGATGTATTCAGCAGTAACGTCTCGCCATCGCTACAAGGTCGGTCCTGGACCCCCTTCATGAGTGAGGGCTGAAAATAATGCACAAACACCGCATGATTCCTCACCTGCACGCTGACATGCCAACAACGAAAGTCACCCGTCATCTATGTGAGGGGGGGGGTAGGAGAGGGGGGACAGAGCGAGAGATAGGAGGAGCTGTGGGGTGTTTCATATGCGACGCACTCCCCCGTTACCCCTCGTTTCTTGTGTAGTAGGGCAGCGGTCGCCGCTGTTTCTTATTGAGACAATTCTTATTGTTGAGTCATGTTTCTAACGCTATTTCCTTATTTTTCGTGGAAAAGTGGGCCTCTGTTTCTAAAAAAAATATGCTCAAAATCATTGCGGGCGCTAACTATTAGCAAAGCGCGCATTATTTCGTAGATGTAGACTACATGCGTTGCTTGTTTTGTGTCGGGCTGTGGACCAATTTTGATGCGTCAATTAATTGTGGAGATACCTAACTAACCGGCTGTAGGCGCAACGAAAGGTAGCTGTTCTTGGTACGCAGAACTTTGGTTGGCAGGCGCCGAGAAAGAAAGGCGGCCAGCGATGGAGTCGAATGCGAGTTTTGGTGATGGGCTATGCCAACGACTACAGCAATACAGTTTTCAACCTTATAATCTGCTGCTATTCGGCGTTTTATCTCGGGCAAGCTATGTTACGCTGACGCGTGTTTGAGGTGTCAGCTGATTTGTTTTGTGCCGAAATATGCGTAGTCATCACCACATTCTCTACAAACGGACCTGTCGCGATGAGTTCACGCTGGCCCTCGTCACCTGCGTTGTGACTCTCAGTACAGTAGCCATCACATGTAGTGGTTTCGGGGGCGGCTTGTTCGGTGGTTGGCGCGCTTTGTCGGGGATGGACTATTTCTCCGACACTACAAGTTGCAAAATTGTGTGGCCATTTAAGGAAGCTCGCATCTTCGATCATCATTTGAGTATGTTTTAGGTTAGAGCATCTGCATATACGTCTTCCCAGGGGGGGCTAATGTAATTGAGCAACTAGTGTATGATGAGCGTTATACAAGCTGGTTCACGGAAGAAAATAAACCCATATAAATTCAACCACCGCTGCCAGACGAATATTTACACAAAATTGACACGTATCTTGTATCATAGTGACTCCCATGAGCAAGGGAACAAATCACCATGACCGGAATTGCAATCAGAGCCATGACCACAATGCAATGAGCAAAAACGTGTCTCGGCCAATCAGAAGCCTTAAACATGATAATACTTCAAAACAATCAATTCGTGCAACCCCGAACTTGCCACCTCGTTCTTGCGCATTATTGCAAAAAATGGTTGCAGGTGGCAAGGAAGTAGGAACAGGGGGTGGCAGTGTCGGGGGTCTGGGGGTACATGGGCTTGAATGGGGGTTGCCTCAGAAAGAGCAAGACGGCGGATGTTTCTCTCTTGGTGTGACCGGTGGCAGTATCGATCAGCAATGCCGCAAAGACGTTTGTGCGCCGAAATATGGGTGCGACAGCTTTAACCTAACCACTTCGGTGGAAAGCGGATTTCTGTTCGATACGGTGTCGGGAGTGCTGAGGGGGGAGGTCTTGGCCCTTGTGGTTGAAGGTGGCAAGGAAGTAGGAACAGATGGTGGCAGTGTCGGGGGTCTGGGGGAACATGGGCTTGAATGGGGGTTGCCTCAGAAAGAGCACGACGGCGGATGTTTTTCTCTTGGTGTGACCGGTGGCAATATCGACCAGCGATGCCGCACAGACTTTTGCGCGCCGAAATATGCGTGCGACAGCTTTAACCTAACCACTTCGGTGGAAAGCGGATTTCTGTTCGATACGGTGTCGGGAGTGCTGAGGGGGGAGGTCTTGGCCCTTGTGGTTGAAGGTGGCAAGGAAGTAGGAACAGATGGTGGCAGTGTCGGGGGTCTGGGGGAACATGGGCTTGAATGGGGGTTGCCTCAGAAAGAGCACGACGGCGGATGTTTTTCTCTTGGTGTGACCGGTGGCAATATCGACCAGCGATGCCGCACAGACTTTTGCGCGCCGAAATATGCGTGCGACAGCTTTAACCTAACCACTTCGGTGGAAAGCGGATTTCTGTTCAATACGGTGTCAGGGGTACCAGGGAAGACGGGGCCGAGTTTTGTTTGATTTCGGGTGGATGAGGTTGGGGTTTTGTTCGTTTTTCTCCATCTAAGGTTCGTGCCTAGAGTTCAGCTGTAGTGTTTCGACAAAAGTTTTGTTGACTTAGAGGCAAACATTCCTAGCTATTGGGCATCGAGTTAATTTGGCTTGGCATGACGGCCTTTACGATCGACTTTTTTATGTATGTCTGCATTTATCTGCAATTGTCGGAGGGCAAACAAAATAATAATAAAAATAATATTCCCATCCATGCTCTACAATGTAGTAGGTGTTTGAGTGGCTGCTAGCTAGCATGAATGGTGTACAAAAAAAAAATTGGGTACATCATATTTATTTATTTTTTTATTGTTGATAGGATGCGGGTCGGTCAGGAGGTATACCCTTTTGACCCCTACCCCCTTAGAATTTGTCCACTCTGTGTACCCCCTGAGATGAAGTTGGATCCCCACTTCATCCCAGTAGCGTGAGCAGTAGCGTGTCAACGACAGAAGAACCTTCATCTATCTCTAGGAGCAAGCTACCGCCCACGGCATCACTCCTTGAAATACGGGACCTAATGAAGAAAAGTATATATAAAACGGTCATTCATTGTGGAAGCGAGTTACGCCCAATATTGTGGGTCGACGGCCGAGAGGCGTGGTCGAGTTTCCACGGACGGATCGTATACTGTACTGGGATGAGTTCGCGTAGAGTCTCGTGTTGGTTTTCCTTGTACATGTCGAAGGAAATGTTGAATGATAGTCTAGTCCTCAAATATTATGGCATGCAACAAAGTTGCACAAACCGAAAAAAAAAATGGGACAATGTTTGCACAGCCTATTGGGGTCCCCGGTGTGGAACGCCCGAAAACCGGTTCCACATGTGTAACCATCACTTTCTTTTTTCTGCTGCGCGATGATGCAAGGGTCCTTTCCGGAAAGATTGCAGTACCACTTGTAATACTGGCGCAGTACGGGGCTTTGTAGTGAAAAAAAAACGCGGACTGATTGTTTACCAATCAATCAAGTAGTTTGGGGCAAAAAGAAACTTGGTCCGGGGCTTGGCGCTTTACCATATTCAGCAGGTTCTACGAACCGCACATCAATCCAACGCAACGAACCTAACGGGACTGTGTGCATATTTTAATTAATCCACAAACTCAAATGAATTAGCAATTTCCGACTTTGGGCAGAGGATATATCAGATGGCGAATACTTCATGACAGAAAAGCTGAAAACTTCACGCCGGCTATTATAGGAGTTAGACTATGAAACTTTGCACACGGGTATATTGGGTCGGTGCGAAACGCCGCGCGGTCGGCCCTTTTTTATTTTCTTCCATGGTCGCCGGTTGTTCGGGGTTCGAGCAGCGGCACATGACCCCGAAACATCCAGGACCCCGGATATCTGGCGACAGGAGCAAAAATAACAGAGGCTCCTCCACACAGCGTTTCGCACTACATAGCCCAAGGTGCATGTATGTGTACCTTTTTTCAAAGTCTAATCATAAGAAGCCGGATTTATGCCCATACTGAAAAGAAGCATAATTTATGCCCATCCTGACAAGTGAAGCTTTTTGGGAAAGGAATCCAGGTGTAAAAGATTCAGCCGAATAACTCCTAAGATACGCATCAAGTTTTCATGTTGAATGTTCTTGAATCCATTTCCTTGAACTAGCTTTTATGAGCGTTGCATGAGCATTAATATCTTGAATATTCGTTGGTTGCTGTGACTACATAGGAATCCGACATTCCAACCCCCGTCCTCACTCTCTACGTTTGAGCGCGGAGCGCGGGCTGGGTACATATATATGAAGAGGATGAAACACGAAAAGCAACAACTGTGTGAGTCACCCAGCAAGGAGCAGCGGACCTGCTTCTCTTTTTTTTTCCTGTTCCTCCAAAACACGATGTCCTGTATGGTTAGTTGAGCACGGTACCGACTACCTTACTTACGGTGAGCACGGCGCGAATGAATGATTGTCTTGACAATATTCCCCGGCACCGTACCCGATGCCAAAAATCACATTTATTTGTTTGTGGTGTTGATAAACTGTAAACCGCAACACAATATATCATGTTATCATGAACGGATTTTCCAACACGGAGATGTAGCATGGATCAAAGCATTTGCTGGATTTCAGCTTTTACAAGAGGACATCAACGCAGTAGTATTTTAGCAAGCTTGCGAACGCATGTAGGATACCATATATAATAATAAAAAATACCATGAGGCTTGTCATTGGTATTATTTGAAATTGAAGAGGAGATTTTTTGACGATGTAAGTGACAGTAGAAATAAGTCCTACATATTATTATGTTGTTGTACGTCGTATTGGTTTAATATTCATGTAGAGTATGAGACATTAAGTGAAAGTTTTCTAAGGTACATCTGCAATTGTCGGAAGGCAATATATATATAGATAGATAGATTTCTGTTCGATATGGTGTCAGGGGTAGTACCAGGGAAGACGGGGCCGAGTTTTTTTTTATTTCGGGTGGATGAGGTTGGGGTTTTGTTCGCTTTCTCCATCTAAGGTTCGTGCCTAGAGTTCAGCTGTAGTAGTGTTTCTACCTGTGTGTTTTGTTGACCTAGAGGCAAACATTCCTTGCTATTGGGCATCGAGTTAATTTGGCTTGGCATGACGGCCTTTACGATCGACTTTTTTGTGTATGCCTGCATTTATCTGCAACTGCCGGAGGGCAAACAAAATAAAAATAATAATAACATATCATGGCAATCCGACGGCGGAAAGTGCATGAGCGTACACGTTCGTTTTTGGCATGATTCAAGTTCTTCAAAGCCCGACGCTCCAACCTACAACAGAGCATATACAGAAAGAAAGGCTGCTGCTGCCGCTGCGGCTGCTGCTGCTGTACGTAGGAGCCAGGCACACGAACTTCTACTGGTGCTCTGTCTTCATCCAGAAAACGGTACAGTAGTAGTGACGATGAGGTTGGTCAGATTATTGAAGCACCGTGTAGTATGCAACCGTGTCGGGGCTGAGATATACCATGTATGTATGCATGTAGATACGGAACAACTGGGCAAATAGTTTTCGGGATGATCAATCAGGTGATCGGCAGCGCATCGTTCGAAAGTTTTGCGTGGTGTGGGAGAGTGTTGTTGCCGAACCCCCCCGTAGCACACCTACCTGCAGCAGGGAGCCAAGAAGAAGATGTTTCAACCCGCCGGAGGTTGCCACCCACGACCACCACAGAATTGATGTTGTTGTGATGCTGCACGGCGGGAGGAGCGAGGGAAGGGGGAAGGAGAGGAGGACTGAATAATACCGGCCGCGGGCAGTTTTGGTATGTTGCTGCCGGACTCATTCTATGTTGTTGGGAGAATGGTTCTAGAAATTTTCTAAACAGAGGTTGAAAGCCCCCTCCAACTTCTTCGTGTGCGTTTCTGCGAGAATTTTTGTTCTTCGAAAAAAGAATGGGTTTGGGAACGGCCTACAGCGTCTCCGACATGTTCATGCCAGCCGCAGCCGCGGAGATGTACTTTTGTTTATTTTTCGTGGATTTGCAACAGTCATGTAGGCTAGACAACACAAATTTATTGCCAGAGTTTCCCCGCACTACAGTAGATACCCCGAAGGCCATGACACATGGTACGAATATCACCGAACGAAGAAGACAAACACTGACTACTAGTATGTAGGATTGGGAGACATTCCGGAGGAAGCTCCGTATAATTCTATTGGGTCGGAGGCACAATTTCTAGGTTACATCAGAAATGAATATTAGGCGTTCGTTGTGACGAAGCTTGAAAAATTTGACCATCACAAGATGATCCATCTTCTTCGTCGGAATCAGCTCGATGCATTCCGAGGCCGCCCACTGCTCGCGCTCGACACGGTTTGTGCTGCACGTCCTCAGATAGTCAACCAAGGTGGGAGAATCTGTAAGGAGATATAGTATTGCTGTTGTTTGCATGCAGCAGTTGCTGCTGCTGTGTTCGAGCGAAGGATTTCGTACGGCGGCTAACCCAACTTCGCCGAAACTTGATATGAGAGAGATACATGTCATTGCTGTGTTTGGATTCCAATCACGTACAACCTGCTGTGCGATGTCAAAACACTTCCTGTGTATGTACAGAGAAGCACCAAACCCCAAACATCCCACTGCTGCCTACATTGCGAAATTTTCTACGCTTGCTTGAACGGCAGACGCAAACACACCATTGTCAGCACGTCTCTCAAATACGTACAGCAGTAGGCTTACAGAAAAATGGCTATTTACAGTATTGAGATTATTAGTAAATCGAATGAACAGTAGACTTATGACTATTTCAAGCTTTGATTATTTACCAGTTTTTATCACGAGAAGAAGCGAGAAGAATGGCTTGGCCCCCCTGTTCCCTCGTAGAGTCGGAAAATGCGTGTATCCACAACTGATTTTCCTTTTTCCACCACGACGTACTTCTGGGTTTCCGACGAGGTTAAGCACACTAGTAAATGCCACTGTAGCACACTGTAGCTAGACTCCGGGGCGGGGTGACCGGCATTTACCACTATGCTGCTGCAGTACATATATATGTACACCACATGCATGCAGTACTTCAGCGTACGTAGTAGTCTTTGGGTGTGTTGTGAGAAAAGTTGCTTGCCACACCGAATCGATCGCTCGCGTCCATGCCACGAGCGGTCGACCTGTTTCCGGCGGAAGAAACGTCGGGTAGACTATGTCTCTGTTGTACAGCCTATTCGACGAAAAATGGAAAGAGCAAGGGCTGACAACCTCTCTCTACCGGTATGTATTCATACACGTTTCGGCACATCATGGAATGTTGACTAATTACCCCGGTAGAAAGTGGACTGTTACTTCTCCACCTGTAGAGTAAACAAGCTTACCTCCTCGGTGAAGCTTCGATCGATGTTATTTCCACGCCCCCAACGGCAACACGAATCACGCGACCTCATCGGACAAAGCAGTAGGAAGATTCAGTGGTGGTGGATTTACACGCAACACGCAGCAGCGGGAGGGGGGGTATGCAAAGCACGCCGCCGGGGGGACGGGTGTCCCAACCTCCTTCGAGCGTTGGGGAACCGCATTCTGCTCTTGAAGCAGTCAAACCGGAAGTCCAGGTAGTGCTCGCTCGACCCCATAACTCCACACATGGACAAACCTCCCACTTACCAAAAGCAACGACAGTTGCCTTGAACAGAAGACACCGCTGTAGGTTCCCTGTGCTTCGTGATTAGCGATAGCACTTAGTCTGCGTCGCCCATTTCCTGTAGCAATGAAGATGTTTGCCTGCTTTTAATCCCATGTATGCATACGTCACCCAACCTCGCCCGCCCTGTACAATCCATGCACGCAAGGCACGACCCGCACCCTCTGGTATATATAAGTCACGTTAAATTGGCCAATGGCTTCGTGTTGTCCAGCACATTTATTTTCTGCCACGCGCCACGCACACATAGCAGAACATTCAACCCTTCCCAACAGATTTATTTCTTCTACAGCCCTCCCCGCCTAACGATACATGCATGGTCCATATCTCGGCACGGAAGATCGCCGCCGAAACATCATTTGAGCTGTTATTGCCTACAGGAGACTTATCACTGGGTGGTGCTTGGAGAATACGTCGTTTTGAAACACTGGTGGACGCATTGTGGACTAAATGCTGTCAGTTTCTTGCTACGGTTTGTCCTTTACATCCGCAATTAAGAAATATTTTTGTACGAAGTACAGGCTCATTTTTCCACGAAAAATAAGAGAATATGGCTCACGCTGGGTCACACAAAAAGAAACAGCGCTGCCCTACTACTCCGTAAGAAACGAGGGGTTACGGGGAAAGTGTGTCGAATAAAAGGCACCCCACAGCTCCTTCTATCTTTCACTCTTTCTCCGCGCCGTTTCTTCCCCCCCCACCGCCGCTTCCCCGACTCTCTTTCTCTTCGGTCCTGAGATGGCCGCACTCTCTGCTTCTGCTGCCCTCGCGCGCTGGCGCTTCGCGGACGCTTCCGCCTCCTGCCTGTGCCATTTTCTCATGAGCCATGCCGCCCCGTCCTCGACCTTGTTGTACCACACCTCCGGGTCCTTGGCGCCCTCTTTCCATTTCCCCCCTTCCTTTTCGTCTCCCATGTTGAAGGCCACGAGGTCCTCTCCTAGACGAGACACCCTGTCGCTCTCCTGCCCGCCCCGGTATCCCACGCCCCCCGCCATCGCTCCTAACAGCATGCGCTTAGGGAGGCGGTTGTCCTCCATGCGCATAACAAAGCCCGCGAAGCACAGTCTCCGTTTGCGCACGGTGGCCTCGATGGTTTCTTCGCAGCCGGCCTGGATGAGGGCCTGGGCATTGGACAGGGGGCGGTCTAAGCGTTTCCGTTTGCTCCAGCCGATGCACCGTGTAAGGAACTGGCGGTGGGTCCCATTGAGCTTCGTGTAGTGCTCCGCTATTAGGCTCCACGAGGCGCACCCGTATAGGAGAGTCTCCACCACTTCAGCCTGGAGTAGCCGGATCTTGAGCTGGCGGTCGGCCCGTCGCCTGTCGTACATCGAAGCACTGTTCCGGCGGTAGCACTTCCACACTCGGCAGCTGCGGCTCGTGATCTACCGGTCGGCCTTCCCGTCCGCGAAGATGGTACTCCCGAGGTACACAAACCGATCTGTCTGCTTGTACGTCTGGCCGGCGGCGCTGACCGTGAACGGGCGTTCCTCGATCGCTTTCGGCAGCATGCACATGATCTCCGTCGTTGACTTCGATACCATCAGTCCGAACAGGCTGGCCACGCGCACGATGACCGGCATCATCTTCTCGAGACTCTCCGGGGAGGGCGAGGCGATGGCCGCGTCGTCAGCGTAGAGCATGGCCCACAAGGCCTCCGCGTCCGTCACCACCGTCGTCTTCTTCCCCGCCGACCTGCCGTTCATGCCCGTATACTCCCCTTGTGTCCCGATCTTGACCATGTCCGCCGTCACCTTGGGATCCTTGTCGAACTTCGCCACCGCGATCATGAGCATCGCGGCAAACCACAAGTTGAACAGCAGCGGGGCCAGGTTGCATCGCTGTCGAAGGCCTTGGCCCACATGGAACCATTGCGAGTACTGCCCGTCGTCCGTTCGGACGCGCGCCCTCATGCCCTCGTGGAAGTGGCGAATCGTGTGTAGGTCCCCGATTTGACAGCTGAACGGCTGTGTAGGTTTCTGTATTTTCTGTATTCCAAGTCGCTTCCTCTGTAATCCCCCGCCGCTCACGCTGTCGGCTCTGTGAAGAGGTTTTTCACATCAATTAAGTCGGCTTTGTGCGTAGGTCCCCGGTTCAACAACGGATCAACGTTCCTCTGTCCAACAAGTCACTCTGTGTGTACTCTCATCGCTCACCATGCCGTCGGCTGTGTAGGTTTTTTCTGCTCCACTCATTCACAGGTTTGCGTCTCTGGGTACCCCTACCGCTCTGGTCTCATACGTTGTGAAGTAAATAGATTTGGCTCTAAGTTCCCATGCGCGCAGGGGCAGAGAGACGGAAACACTATCAATAATTTATGTAATGAAAACAGACGTATGTATGTGCCACAGCCCGAGCCCACTACTGGTGGTGCCTTCGGACCAGATAATACGAAAGACAGGCGGGAATCAGGCGGGCTCGTTTGGCATTTATTTCCGATTCAACTATTTTTGAAGGGTTAGAATAATACCGTATGAATGGAATATGGAGATATCTTGTGTAATGTTTGCGCGACATACTCAACCGCATACCGAAGCGGGTTTAGATCGCGACTTTCCCGTGTTTTTCTCCCCTGAGAAAACATATGTAGCGGGAGCGCCATCACACGTGTAATTCGTTTGAAAACCTTTCATATTGCGTCCCCACACAGGGTGGGGAAAGTGTTCGGGGCTTCGGGACTGAGCCGAATTTGGCAGAAAACGGCGCGGAGCGCCGAACAATTCTTGGGGTATTACTTCATTTCGGGGCAAAGCCGCCGACGCTGTCAGGCCGACCGCCGAAGAAAATATTCAATCTTGCCGGACTTTCGGCGCACAATCCTGCGGGAGCCCCGCAGTAATTCAAAAACTAAACCCAACGAACCAAGTAACCTCTCCCCTCCACACCTTCCCAGCATGACAGTTTACAGATAGATACACAAGACGGCTACCAAAACTGTGTTGTTGACCCTGTTGCCCACGGGGGAGATATCACTATGTGCTGCTCGGGAAACCGTGGAAAATCAGAACTTTCGCTGATGCTATGGATTCAGTGCTATTCTATTTCACTCTTTTCTTCGATAGAGATGGATTCGTTGGGTCATTAGTCTATGCTAATGAAATAATAAAACGTTCCAAAACGAGAGTGGCCGCGAGTGGAGTACATAGAACAACATATTCGCCTGATTGAGAGCGAAGTATCTGATTGAGAGCGAGAGCCAAAAAAATTGAAATTTCGGGTCCAGACGCCTCTTGCCATTTCTTGGCAAGTAGGGGACGGGCTATTCCAAGAAGCGGTGCAAATTGAAGGTCTCATCAGCAGCTTCGCGAGCATATGCGTGTCATCGTCATCGGATGCTGCAGCGAGGAGCTAGACAAGTTGCTAGATTTGCCCAGATTGGCTATTTCTGCTCAAACTGTTTCAGGGCGGTATCGCGTCGGGCGGTGGGCTCTGCTGTAGCTTCTGCTCCCCGCTGTAGCTCCACAACGAGAGACTCCCACAGGATGACCAGGGTAGCGGCTTGAAGCTACGGGCTAGCCCTTCAATTCAAGCTACACAGCAAGCTCCACCTCTCAGTGGTAGTCCGGCTACAGCGTATCGCGCAATCTCGCTCTCAATCAGATGCTACGCTCTCAATCAGGCGAATATGTTGTTATAGGTACTTCTACTGGATGGAGCAGCTATACTGGAGGATAGAATTGTGGCACGTGCACATGCAGCCTGCCTGTAGCCTGTCGCCCACAGGTTGTCCAGGTTGTTGGTAAGCTGCGAAGGTGTGCCGATTCAGGTATAAGTCAATCGACGGATACCCTGCGAATCCAGTCCTCCTTAACACTCTCCACCCACAGAATTTACCCTCAACTGGGAACCTCTTGTGGCCAGGATGGGTAGTTCGATGGAAGTGTCACAAGGTTCTTTGTAGGATCGACTCCAAGAGGTGTTCTCAGGACTGACACACGTTGTGTCCATTGGAAAATGTCCAAGTCAGGAGAAAAGGTGTTCACCCAAGGAGATTCGAACCAGTATCCTGCCGCTGAAACCATATGCGAAGGTGTGCCGATTCAGGTAAAAGTCAATCGACGGATACCCTGCGAATCGGGTCCTCCTTAACAAAGCGCTGTGCTGCACAACAGGGGGTTTCCCTTCGTTCGCAAAAATATGAACATAATTGATTTCTTGCTTTTTTTACTCTTCGAAGTATGGAATTTTTATTTCTGATGTGCTGGTTTGCTTCTTCTGGAAAATAGAGATGGATAAAAAATCCCAAATTTACACGCACGCGTTTACTGTATGTTTGTTTGTTCACGATGAAATGTCAGCTGGTAGGGTTTTGGCTCGAATATGCAGGCGCGTACTGACCGGCACCTACTCACTACTGTTCTGCCCTGCACGATAGTATGTAAACAATACTTCTAGTAGTAAGAAAATACAGTATGACCGTAACGACATAACGATGAGACAGCACTTCAAATTAGTGCGAGAAAGTGACGAAATGACGCATACTACCCGAACGAGTCTGCGCTATTTTTCCTACCCTGTACCCAAACTTGAAGAATAAAAACTTCTCAAAACAAGACAAGCAACACCACCACACCCAACATGTACATGAATTCAGTCACAATGAGGAACGGCGACAGAAAGAAAGAGCGGTGTCACAGCGGAGGGGAAAAAAACGAAAATAAATACAGTCGGGTCGCCATCTCCCACACTTTGTACAGTTGAAAACGCCCAAATCCATGGGCGTTTGCAAAACTAACTGTAGAAAGTGTGGGAGACCCACCGGTCGTGACCACGTAGCCAGAGCGCCAGAGTGACATGAAACGGGAGAGGAAAAGCAACGAATTCAACCATGAGCGAGACCCGTAGATAGACAGGAAGGAGCGCCCACTTCTAGTTGAAGTGCCGAAATAAATGGATGGGTTGAAAGACCCGAAAGCGATGGGTGGATAGACAGGGTCGTGGGCTTCTGACGCATGCCCGTCCCTAGAATATCTTCCAGCTATCGGGGTAGACATTAGAAGTCATTTTTCGTAATAACCCCAGAATCCCGGGTGCACCTCTTGCGGGCTCACAGTAATACATACCGTTTCTGTCGGACCAATTCATTACTGTTTTGATGGTCAGTACGGGGCTGCAGGGGCCACGTTTGGTTTCGTTCGCACTGGAAGAGAAAAACTCTGTTGATGGAGGAAACACCGGCGAAACCTTTCAACGTTTTACCTAACGTCGTGGTTTCCGTTGTCCCTGCTTCCGCTACTGCCGTAAGTTTCCGCCTCTAGGGTAGAATGGGGCAGGCCTCGGCGCCACAAGTATTGAGCGTTAGTCCTTCCGCAAGCGCTGCCGAGACCAAAGGGAGACATCAGAAGAATCCCCAAGCCGCTGACGACCCAGGACCTGCAGGAAGTTCGTCGACAGAGGCAAGGGGATGACGTGCCTGTGGTGTGGACCCCTAAATAGTGGCTTGTTGCTTCCGCCAGGGCCGTGACGTTGGACAACATCGGCATCGACAAAATCACCAGCCTTCACCGCACCACAGCATCGACAACTGAAAATAACATGTAGGCATTTACTGCAATTTTTGGCGTTATTGTGCCGTAGTTTCGGCGATATTCTTGTCGTGGTTGGCTTGGAACACCAGCATCGACCGTTGTACCCTCTGGTTTACAATAAACAACATATTCGCCTGATTGAGAGCGAAGTATCTGATTGAGAGCGAGAGCCAAAAAAAATGAAATTTCGGGTCCAGACGCCTCTTTCCATTTCTTGGCAAGTAGGGGACGGGCTATTCCAAGAAGCGGTGCAAATTGAAGGTCTCATCAGCAGCTTCGCGAGCATATGCGTGTCATCGTCATCGGATGCTGCAGCGAGGAGCTAGACAAGTTGCTAGATTTGCCCAGATTGGCTATTTCTGCTCAAACTGTTTCAGGGCGGTATCGCGTCGGGCGGTGGGCTCTGCTGTAGCTTCTGCTCCCCGCTGTAGCTCCACAACGAGAGACTCCCACAGGATGACCAGGGTAGCGGCTTGAAGCTACGGGCTAGCCCTTCAATTCAAGCTACACAGCAAGCTCCACCTCTCAGTGGTAGTCCGGCTACAGCGTATCGCGCAATCTCGCTCTCAATCAGATGCTACGCTCTCAATCAGGCGAATATGTTGTTAATATGCGATATCCAATCCCCCATCACTCGCGCTGTAGGTTACAACTCTTGTCCCTTGCGCTTCGGCCATCCGTCGTGCGCTACCCCCTCCCTGACAATACCACCCTGTCGAACCCGTCCCCCTCCTGACTCTTTGCGTCAACCCTCCGTGTTGACATCCTGAGCCCCCTCCCACAATTCACCATGTTTCAGGCGAAGAACTTAGCGATATGCGTGCTGGGCATCTACGCGTGTTATCTATCTGCGGGGATGCTGCAGGAGGGCATTGTCAGCTACAGAACGGTTGACGGGGAAAGGTGAACGAGAGAATAACGGCAGGTGCCCAAGGAATCGGGTTGGAGATGCCTAACTCGTGTGAGAACTGTTGTCGTTGACAAATGCGTAACCCTATACCGGGTCAACAAGCAGGGGCGTTGACGTGATGCCGTCCTCTCTCGATTTTCATGCGTATGGCACGCCCGGGTTGTACGGCGAGATGGCAAGGAACGACCCCACCCTGCGAGCTATCACGAAAAGAGTCGGTTGCGTGGTGTTGACAGGTTATCCACTACCTTGTTCCTTCTGTGGGTGCCGTGCGTGGTGAACGTCGTCTCCGCCTTCCTGGGTATGCAATGTGTCGGGACATCCGGGGAAAAGGTGCGACCCCAGACATTGTTACCCAATGTCAGGATATGGTCAAACGCGGTTGATGATGCCGGCCGCATGCCGTTTGACGGCCGCGGTTATATCCACACGTCTAGAGCCAATGTTGAGGAAGCCAGGCACAAAATAACCTACAGTATCAATGTACCATTCCGCCACATGGCGCAGGCGCGATAGACCCGACACAAGCTCCTTCTTTGTTGCAGGCAACACTCACGAAAAGCATACCTGCCTCGACTACTCTGCATGCTCATGTGGACAACGTCTTCGAACTCCCATGATGTTTATGGTTTTTCGGAATCATTCTCGCCTCTCACCCAGGAACTGTTCCGATAAATAATTGATTGCCCGCCATTGCGATCATAACGAATTTCGCCCTCAAGCGAGGCCGTGGGTCCAAACACTCCATGGGGCCTGCACCGGAGCCTGAGTGGAATCGAATCCAACAACTGCTGCCGCCTGGATCTCCTGACTTACTGCAGACTACCTCTCTCCATATAGCGTGTTGCCGGCCCCGTACGTACTCGGAATAAAACAAAAGGTTCTACGCGGTTGGGCATCGGTCGGCATTTGTTGATTCGGAGGGTTGTTACAACACCTGGCGATGCGGAAAGGCAAAGTTCATCGCCAATGCGACACCTATGCATACCAAGACACGACCCGTTTGAGTTCTTCAGTCGAGGTGGTTTGAATTTCGTTCCATTATTCGCAGATGCCGCAGCATCTCTTCGGGTTGACCGCGTTCGCTTACATCGGCGCCATGATCCTGTCGATAGAGGCCCTCCAGTACGTTAACTTCCCGACCAAGGAGCTTGGGAAGTCTTGCAAGGTAAGGCCGGAGGTTCCTCGTTGATGTCTGAGTGACGGGCAACCATGGCAGCAGGAAGATTTGGTGCAGACAAGACAAGACTGTTTGGTGGCGGTGGCGCCTTCTTGGCGGTGGCGCCTCGGTGCTCTCCGAAGAGACATATAGTACAACAACGTATCCAACGACGTTGACCGAGCGAACGGCGGTGAAGAACAACGTATTTTAAGTTTTTGGTACTGCGCACCGGAACCGGAGTACTCAATTTATTATGTTAACTTGTTTTGTTTATCATTGAAAGCTAGCTTTGTTGCAGCAGTAGTTCATTTTTTTTTTGCAATGAATGGAGAGGTAGGCCACATGTAAGCCCGCGATGTTTCCGACCGATTGCAGCTGACGGAGATCACATACCGATGGAGTTACCTATCCTTTCATATGTGTCTGTGTCTGTGGTTACAACAAAGATGATCCCGGTGATGCTGTTCGGAGTGCTGTTCGCCAAGAAGCAGTACAGCGTGCGAGAGTACCTCTGCGTGGCGCTCATCACGATGGGCATCGTCATCTTCAACCTAGCCAAGGGGTCCAAGACCGAAGAGGTACTGTAGCTGCGTAGTAACTAAACACGCCAGATATTGCGCGTCGGATCTCCCTTGGTTGGGGTTCGTCTTGTATGCTGTTCTTTTTCTCGTCCCATGTGTTCTCGGCGCCAGGTTTCCCTTTTTGTTTTACGTTTGAGGCACCAGCCGGAGTCATTTAGGAAGTGCTCTCCACCTAGATGCACCGGCTTCATGGTTCTTGCTCCGTCAGTGGTTTTTCCCATCGGTTTTCTCCAAACTGACGTGAAAATACAGCCCTGGTGGTCGGTACCGATCTTCCACCGGTAAACCGCCGGATTTTTGTAAAATCGCCTCCGCCAAAGTCGTTACCGTTGACCAGGTACCTCCAAATTCAGGTTGTACCGCCTCCTCGAAAGTCTTCACTGCCCCTAACTCCGGTACCACCTACCACCGAAAAATGCCGACGTATGGCATCGCCGCCCAAACCATGGCAGCTATTGAAGAACCGTTACCGGCGCTTTTCACCGCCATGGCCTACAACGTCCATGTCCTAGGCGTGGAAATTATCGTCGAAGTGTAGTCTGGCTTTGTCTTTACTCGCCCTTGGTTGAGTCTGAGAAAGAGACAAATGTTGGACTCTTCTGTTCTTCCGTGCCCTTGTGGCCCTTTCAGGACAAGCAGAACAGCACGTATGGGCTGTCCCTACTGGTTACAAGCCTCATCTTCGACGGGGTCATGACCAGCTCTCAGGTTTGTGAACAACTGTTGCCGTCGTTAATATTTTGACGGCGTTGACTGACTCTGCAGCAACCCACTCATCTATCCGTATTGCAGGTCCTATGTTCTATTCAAACCCATCTTCTTAATTAACACGCTAAATCGGACAATTCAATTCTGGCCGGGACCCAGTGGCGAGATCATTCGTCTCTACACTTTCGATCACTCCCTCCGCAATATATTCACTCATCGATGTGTCTTCTTGTCTACATATCAGGATCGATGTGGTTTTCTAACCTGTAAAAGGCGAAATCAAGCTAGTTGACATACGAATGGCCCCTCGCGAGGTGTTGGCGGCTACGTCGTGCGTGAGTGGGCGGCCGACAGCTTGACGACGGGCACCCTGTTATCTAGACGAACGTGTGGTGTCGTCGTGGACAACCTGTACCCGCCGCCTTAACCCGCGCTCCTACGTACCCTCCCTGCACCTCCCCCGTCCAGGAGCGGTTGAAGACCATCTGCAAGCCCACCGCGTACGAGATGATGTTCTACACGAACGCGTGGGCGCTGGGCTTCCTGTCGGCGGCCGCCTTCGCCTCGGGGCAGTGGGTGAAAGGATCGCTGTTCTGCGCGGACAACCCTCTGGTCATGGTGAGTCCGTGAATGGCACCACGCTCTCCAGGATTTGTGTGACGTTTGTTCGCGTCATATGGCATTAATTATCGTTTGACATTTCTTTGGCGTGTCTTTTGCATTTTTGTTGGCATTCTTTCGTGTGAGGAGTGAAGGTGGATTGAGGGCAGAGACAGGGATAGTGTTCGGACTGGGAGGGTCGGGATCGTGGTGATTGTGATGCTCGAGCATATTTTCAGCTGATTTTTCTTAATATCATAACCCCAGCTTCGTCTTCGCTTCGCATCTGCTCCGTTCAACAGCGGCGATTCAGGCGGGTCGGTGTGGCACGCGTTACGGTTTCTACGACAGACGTTGTTGGCCGACCACTTTGGGAACGCTAATAGCAAACATGATCGCGCTTCTAAACATCCCAATACATTCACTCCAAACCAAGTGACCAGCTACCGCACTGTAACCATTTGTGTGATGATTTTTCCTGGCCTTGATTTCCGCCGTCGGCAGGGCTACGTGGTGGCGTTCTCATTGACGGCGGCGTGCGGCCAGTTCTTCATCTACTACACCATCACCACCTTCAGTCCGCTGGCGTGCGCGACGATCACAACGACCCGAAAGTTCTTCACTATCGTCTTCTCCGTCATCACCTTCGGACACAGCATCAGCCTGAAGCAGTGGGGGTGAGTGGTGTCCCTCTGTTCCTTGCGGCGTTGCGCCTTGATTCCCGGTTTCGTACTTGACTTGCTGTTGGTCGTTGTGTCGATGTGGCTGTGGTTATTGCTGTTGTTATTGAAGCTGCGCAAACGTACCAGTTGATCATCCGAAACGTGTTCGTTCACGTTTCTTGTTTTCGGCAGGGGCGTGGCGATGGTGTTCGTCGGCATCGGCTTCTATATGCACGGCAAGCACAAGCGGCCTAGGGACGAGGGGGGACACGATTTGCGCCATGACGAATCCGAAGCCTCAATGCGACTTCTTGAAGAAGGCGATTGCGATGCCTCATTTATAGACCGACGTCCACCGTCGAGCCTGGAGTGAATGAAGGGTAAATGCGTACGACAGGAGATACTCACAGGTAATCTCGCTGTACGTGTGACGTTCCGAGCGCTGTGCAATCCAGTCGTGTTGAATTGTGGGGCGTGGTCGAGGGTTAGGATTGGGGTGTTAGTGCACATGTTTGCGGCTGCGGGGGCTTTTTTCGCAAGACGTTACTGATACTTGTGAAAGTCATCCGTTCTGTTCTGTAATTCGACAGTTTTTTATACCGCGGAGAAAACCTGTGAACATGGACTTGTTTTGAAGCCTGATATTCGCTGGGTAAGCGGGGTAGGTTGTATTTCTTGTATTGTGGTAGACGGGGTATGTACATTGTATTTCTTGTGTTGTTTCTTGCCACACCATAATCCGTTGCTGTCTCCACAGGTGGGTTCCACACCTCAATCCGTTGCTGTCTTCTACAGGCGGGTCCTAGTGCGTTAGTGCGTTACTGCTTCGCATCATGAACTTCTGATATTTCTTTAAGTGTGTCGTGGTCGTTACTCCGTACAGTTACCCTAACGTGGGATGTTCTCTACAATTACGGTACCTTCCTCCCCCCAGGTATGCATAACGGCGTGGACCGTTGACATGGCATGACGACGTATGCTGTCCTGTTGGTGCTCGGTCACTGGCCGGTACCATGAAATGATTTTGCCGAGCGCCGTGTTCTCGATCACGCTGTGTGCCATCATGTTCTCTCCCGGGTGTTGTCGGCGCGGATCACACCGCACCTACCGTTTACGAATTCGCGAAACACCCGATCTACTCACTCACGCCGACCAGTGCGCCGACCGATCGTATATTTTCACGTGGTCGTGTGACGTGTTTTTTCGCTTCGAAATTGAGTTGTCTTCCTCTCTTTGAGGCCTATCCTAGCGAATGGTACCCAAACGAAAGACGAGCGACACGTGTTTCATGTTTCCAAAGGCTGGGGTCCACCTCCTTTCCACCGTCCATGCATCCCGAACAAAAAAACGGCAGCCAACCGGCAGCAGACCACGTTCCGTCAGCACCGTCAGAAAAAGGAAGAACATGGCACTATCCTTCTACAACGACGTGCACAGAATACGTGCAAACACCAACATCATCCTGTTCAACAGGGTCCTGTGAAAAGAACATCCAACGAACGACCCACGTCAACCGAAAGGACGGGAAAAAGAAAAAAGCAAGGGCGGGCGATGGGTCCTTCGAGTAACACCATCGGGCACCCAAACAACATGTCCATCAAGGTTGATCGGTAAATCCCAGTGCATGGGAAGTGAGTCGCAGAACGTGCTGAGCACGATGAACGGACGCCAGCGCCATCTTCCGTGTGGTCGCACATGTCGCTGGAGGAACACCCCCAACGCCCCTCGGCTCTCTGCCTATCAATACAGCTGGCTCCCGTTGTTGCAAGTATAGTCGGTTCTTAAACACCCAGTTGCCCCCTCGAGGAATTTCTTAGCACACTTACATACTCTTTCCGACAGCACATGGCTCCTTTCGACAAACGGTACACACCATGCTGCAGCGTGAACAATCCGAACTGAGCGTGGGTGCCCCAGAGAATTCTTGCTTTTTTCCACGCAAGCATGATGTACCGCACACAGTCCCCCTTCCTCTTTCTTCCTCGGTCTCGACGTAAAGGCGTTATCCAGTCGGACAATGATTGCGGACAGTGTAAGCAGCATGGAAACTCTAACAATTCAAACGATCCCAAGACGCCATGAAAACAAACCCTAGCCCCCACCACTGCCTATTTCACTTTACCCATTAAATTTGTCCACGCTCAATCCGGTCGGCGTTTGATTCAAATCGGACGTTGTTTGTGATAACACCCCAGGTTCCCATATCGTCGGCACAAACAAATACCATTCGCAGACATCATGAAAGAACTCCAACATTTCGAGCAGTACCGGATGCCCCAAGCCCAAATCCGTTCACCATAACCAAGTACAGCCGTCATCGCTCTTTCCGTTTTGGAAGTGTTCGAGGCGCCACCGCCGTCGGCGGTTCGTTTTGAGACTGGATACAAAAAAACATGCTGTCCCACGAACGGCCGACGAAGAAAAGCCAATACTTCGAAGCATATAATATGCATGAACAGACATGCAGAGCGTATAAGCTCTCTTTATCTACTCTCTCTCTCTCTCTCTCTCTCTCTCTCTCTCTCTCTCTCTCTCTCAGGGGTCCACTCGCACCCCCCCTACACACGCTTCATGCCCACACACGTTACCCGCAGAGGGGATACACATACAGGAGGCGTTGTGTTTCGCGGCTGCCACCCGCCGCGCCCCGCCCTTGCTGAATCTTGTCGCTGTGCCCTTCAGCGCAGAGTGATCGACATCAACGAACCTTGTGACACGCTGTATAAAAAGCTGAAGGCACAAGTGGCAGCTTCGCGAATAGAGCGACGCGATGTGCCTCCTTGTTGTACACACTCGGTAGAGTTTGCCTACAAGCAAGGACCGACACAAGCAAGCGTGGAGTGATGTTTCCACACGAGAAGGTTTCGGCGTGGTACTTGCACTACCAACAGCAAAACGAACACACAACGATTCACAGAACAATGCACAAGAACGTAAGCACCCGAGAAAAATTACATACATACACGCGGTACTCAAACCCTTGCCGCTGTGTTCTTCCGGAAACGATCGGCACGTTACCATGCCTCCGATTCCTCCACATAGGCGTCTACCCGAAAGCGGACTGAGACCAGCAGACCCAACCGCACTCCCTTTCACCGAGCCCGTTTTTCGGCAAAATCCCGCATCAAGATCTTCACGAGGACGTATTCCAATCGAAGAGAAACGCACAGCACTACCTCTGGCCATGTCCCAATAACTCCAGGCCTCCGGGGATATCGATGCCTCGCTCCAGCGCCGGCACCAGCGGCAGGAGCACCAACAGCGACACCCGGAGTGGTGCCGACGCCCCAGCCATCGGTCGGCTGCTGCTGCTGATCATGATGCTGCTCATGGTAAGGATGGTGATCGCTCCATGCAGCGCAGATAGCTTCCGCTTCGCCCTCGGTTAGAACGTGCTCTCCATCGGAAATGGTGTCAAGCACTCGGCTGTAGGGGCAAAAGAGCAAGCGCGAAAATGGAAATATTCCGAGAGGATGATTGACACTTGTCACGATGATACCGTCATTAAGGCTCTGCGATCCCGGGTCATGCTTCATGGCTTTTGAATACGCCGCCCTGTGCGCAACCGCATTGGCAAAGATCTCGGAGGACCAGCAAGGGTATATCTGCGGTGGTAAGATCACAGAGAACCAACGATGATGTAGGCACGGTACCGCTATGGACCAGACGGGGTCCTCGACTAGTTGCACGGTTTCTTTCACATCGCTCGTGAACCCTCTATCGGGATGGGTGTCGAATCTACACCACTGTAGGCCGTGTGCATTCAAGTCCACCCTCAACCCCAACATGACTTTGGGGTGTTGAGGGCCGAGGTCTATGGTAGGGGTCAGGTTCGGAGGCGGGAAGAGTGGACATGCGGGCCTATGGGTGGGTTTGGCCAGATTCGGGAGACACGGTGATTCGAGAATGCACGAAAGCGCCGAGTTTCGCCGGAAGGAGCAAGGGCGGTCACTCGCACACGAGAGCCGACCCCGCACGCAACAACTGGGAATGCAGCGTGCCTGGACAAAGGGGGAGGGTGGGTCCAGAAGTCCTACCTCACGTGACTGAGTTGTCGTTTGTCTGCCGCCTTTCCGACGTTTTTGCACTTTGCTGCGTGATCTTGATACCTGACGGTTTTGACCCTCTTTTTCCACTTGTGACATCAAATAGACTCAACACATCCCATACATAGTCCAGCCACCACGTCTAAACAATCTGGCTAGTTTGTTTTGCCTCAAGTGACGTTCACGTGATGTCTCTGGTCGTGATGTACTCGTTCCCTGCGGCGGCAGCCGTAGCGATCGACATACGAGTGCGTCAGGGCAGCTCATCAAAAAGCAGCGATTCCCAAACCTGAAATTCGTGAGGTCATGATTGAAACGGGTGGAAAGAAACCGCTTGTTTCCGCTGCCTGCGTCCGTAAAACATCCAACCTCTCCGGCGCCGTAGGCAACCGACGGGCGAGGTATGAGGTTACCCGCTTGTCAAGCATGCGAAACAACAAAGCTTGAAGCTACCTGATGTACACAGGATAACAGGTTAGCACATTCTTCGGGTTTAATTATTTTCTGTATGGGTTGCACAACAGGCTTCCGTGAAGTGGGTGCTGCTATTCGAAACAGGCCCGGTTCCAAAGGACTTCAAAGTCTACATGCGTTCAATAGTGCACATGTAGTCATCGTTAACAAGTGGCGCACCAGGCAGTGTGTGGAACTGGCTCTCACCTTTCAACCGAAGTTCGAAGCCGAACCTCCGGCAAAGGCTGGGCCAGGGCCCGCTCTTGACGCTGACGTTCCGTCATTCCGTCGCCTCGTGGAAAACCTGACCAAAGAAAAAATCATTGGTGGCCGAAAAAAGCGCAGATTTCGATGCATGAGTGTTTCAGAGATGAAGCTCGTTTGTTGGTGTGTTACTGCTCTGCTGCTGCTGCTGCTGCTGCTGCTGCTGCTGCTGCTGCGGGTGGTCGTGCTGGTGCTGGTGGTGGTGTTGCCGGTGCTGTTCCTGTTGTTTTGCCATTGTTGTTGTTGTTTTGTCGTTCCTGTTGATTTGTTGTTGTTGTTTTTGTTGCCCTGGCCATTGTTGTTGTTGTTGGTGGTGTTGTTTGTGGGGGGAGGATTTCGTTTCAATATTCCCAAGATTTGAGGTTCCATACCGAAACGACGCAATGTATTTGTCGCCATGGCCGAGGCTAATTTCCAAAAACAAAATGAATCAACCAAGCCACCGCCAAAACATGCACGCTGCGTTGATGTGATTCGGTTCACAGATCCCAGCGATGTCGTCGAATGACGGCCACAACCTGTGCATACTTGCATGCGATCCCAGAGTCGATTCAACGGGGGCATGCGCTCGTCGCCCTCTCGTAGCCACGGGCTACCAGGTTGTGAGCAGCGAGTATATGAATCCCGTTTGGCTGCTTGCTTGTATCAAAAACGAACCTTTAGCGGTTGTCCTCAACGTTGTCAAACAACAACAGCAACGCCGACAACAACAACAACAACAACAACAACAACCACAGAAACAGCAATCAGCAAGCGCAACGAACACCGTGTTTTCAGTGTTTCACCTGGTGGGAGGCCAACACGGAGTGCTGAGGAACGTCTTTAGCGCATCCACCGCTTCACGAGTCAGCCACGCCCGCCTGGGGTTGCGCCTGGCTCATTGAGGGGCGCCTGGCCTGTTGCTGGTGGTGCGAACGGCGAGGGTGGTCGTGTTGGCTGTGCTCCTTGTGTTGTTGATTGTGGAACTGGTCAGGGCTTTGCAGCCGCTTCTCGTTGGGGCTTGACACGACGGAAGCGCGATGCGCCAGGCCGCGAGAGCCCGGCTGATGTTGGCTCTGCTCATGATGCGAGCAAAGGCTCCGGTGAGTTGCGGCTGCGCTGAACGTAGATCTCGAACTGCTCGAAAAACGATGTTCACGAAAGGGCGCCGGGAAGTCACGCGGTTGTATTCTTGAAAACGGTTTATTCCGAGATCGTTCCCGAGGTCAGCATGTATGCAAATGTGCTAGCTTAGCTGCTTACATGAAGAATTTCCCTGGAATAGGCAGGCGAAGCTCGTTCAAGAACGGTTTTATGCCTGCTTGTCGCTCGTTGATTCAGACCCTCGGTCCCTCATCGGAGAAATTTCGTGGTTGGGGATTTCAATTTATCTTCAGGTTGACACAACCATTCACGCATGATCACGCATTATTCAAGGTCCTCCAGTTGAAGTGATAGTCGCTGCCGGCCAAAACAACTAGACAAGACTCCGACAAGTACGCACCAAAGTCATCGCCTATCCAGCATGGTTGAAAGCACCAGACCTGCAAACAAAGCTACTTTACTGACGTGTGGTGCAAGGAAGGAGAAGTACGCTCCATCTTCGAATTGTGACATCTACATCACATTGTGAAGACTGCTGCTGTTCGACGGCGTGTCTTCCGAGCGGAGCGCATGCCATGCATGTACATACGGCTGGACTTTCGGTTTCAGGTGCGCTGGAAAGTTCTACATGTGGTACTGCTGTAGCAACGCTTGTGCCCGTTGGTGCCCTCACTCGTTTTGCACTCGAAAAACTTCGCCAACGGTGAGTGTAGTGCAAGTAATAAACCGGAGAATTGGAAGATAACAAGAAAGTAAATGGTTGTTACACTGTACATTACCTGACTGCACTTGAAGAAGCACCACCCAACGCTTGAACCCCATGACAACACGTACGTATTTCGCAAAAACAATGTCCATAGTGCATACACATCCCGCAGAGTTCTTCTGGGAGAAAAGAGATAACGTCGCAGGTCGTGTGAGACGTGCGTGCAGGAGCCCAATCGGCGGACTGAAGGCCGGCAGATGGTTCACGTCAGCCAGCCGGCGGCAATGAGTCTTCGCCCTTCACAAATTGACACGTTGATTTCCCGCACTCTTGCGGTGTTTGGAATATGAGCGGCACTGCTGTTGTACACAGGCCGCGGCAACAGTAGAACGACAAACAATAATCAGCCAGGGAATTCGTCGTCGTGATGTAGCACGGAGGCAATGGCTCCCCACCCACCACCGCGACTCTCTGAAGTCTTGCTGTGAATGCACATGCAAACGTCCATGTGTAGCTCTTCCCTAGGGCTCCTCACCCCACCGCAGTACGTCAGTTGCGGTGGAACGGATGCATTGAAACTTGGAAGAAATCCGATATGATTGAGGCCGTAAAGGAAACAACGGATGTACCATGCACCAACCAACCCCAGCAATAATAATAGTATCGCACAGCAGTCGCAATAAAAAAAAAAACATCCACGACTGCATGTATCTCTACTGTCCTCTGTTCCAACAAAGACTACAGCTTGTACATGCAAGCAGTACGGAGTCCAGTCTCTCATTCATCTCCGTCACACCTTGCGATGGCAGCCATCCTTCTTGGAATCAGGACCGAACTCATGGCGCCGTCGTCTGTCGTTGTTTACGAGCTCTGCGGTTAGAATCACGCGACAAGCCAAGAGAGGGAGATCACCGAGGCGTGGTGTGCAATCAATCTCTCGGAGACAACCTTGTGATGACCGAGGCCAGAGCAAGTCGCAGTCAGACCGAGCTGGCCAATGCTGTTATGGTGTTCAGCAGGAGACTTTTGTTGGAGTGCGGGGAGTGCCAGCGGAAGGGAAGCAGGGGGGATGGAATTAGCGTCACAAATCGCCGCCCATCCACCCGGGGAATGAACCGTGAACGTTCCCAACGGTCCGAAATCTTTGAATATTTCCAAAAGCAACTCACAGCAAGGGCGGATCAACACTCAGTTCGAGAAGGTGCCGACGAACAGGATGCGCAGGGAGAAAGAAGCCTGGTTGGTGTTGGCTTTGGTGGCCGGTATGGGTGGGATTGTGGCTTGTATGGCGTACCACCTCAAGGATACGGACGTACTTTGAACTTGAAGCGCAAGGACGCGTCGCGCAATATCACGGTTGATTGTGGCGAAGCAGTGATACCGCGAAGGCGGTCCGGCATTTGCATGTACGGCGTACCAGGGTATGGCGTATGGCGTACTACAGCGTCCAGTGGTTGGTACTTGAAGTACAACAACGCTACACGCATTTTTGAATTTCTAGCTACAACGGGCGGGGAGAGACAGGCGCTAGCCAGCCTGAACCACAATATGTTCTTGTTCAACAAGAACATGTGGCTTCAGCGTCGGAGGGGGCGCTTTTGCGGTTCAGCACCTTCTGCGCGGACCCCCGCCTCAATCCCTTGTGCATCCCCGTCTGACAGCACTAGTGTGCAACCGCCGTAGGCAGCAGCATTACTTGTAGTGCAGGTTCGAGGGGGGGGGCGGAAGTTCGACGTGCTAGAGCAGCAGGCATGGGTTTTCTGGACGACATGTCCGAGGTGGGTTCAAACTTTCAAAGTGCGTTGATGTACTGCTGTAGGCGACGTTGTTCCACAGAGCGGATTTTCAAACGTCCGTTGTGCTACTTGTAGGGAAGCTCGTGTTCAATTATGCCATGTAGGCGATCCACCATCATGGTAATCTCTCCCGATGTAACCCCTAGCACAGACCTTCCGTTGCTGCGTCTATACAGCCTACAACATGTATTCACGAAGCAACGGCAGTTCGTCGAGAGCCTGGGCCAACGTGCCATCAACTAATGTGTTGACACAGAGCAATATTACGCCGCTCTGTTGACGCACAGCCGCACTGCCTCATTGATGTTATTGCTGTGCATCGGGGGCCACAGCCATTGTTTCGCTCTTCGGTCTCTCTGGCATTTTCACCCCCATGCTCCATTTTCGACCACCCCACTGCTGTCCACATTATGCGGAAGGAATAGGAAAACACGAGCTCTCCCGCGAGACGGAACTGTATCAAAACTCAAGTCTACATTGCATGCGTGCACACGTGCACACCTTTTGTTCCTCTTTGCAAAAACTCTCACTTGAAGCCAAGTGCGGATATAGTGTGTAAGATAAAGTTACACCATTAGGCTAGTCAGCGCTGACTAGTCTAATGGTGTATCTTTGACTTTCGAAAGATATACGCTCAGCTCGTTAGCACCCGGCTGGATCACTTGGGTCTAGAGCTTGGGATTGAGAGCAGGGATCTCCGGGGCCAGACCCCTCGCCAGTCATCGATGACTGTGCACGTAGTCAAATGTTCAGACTTTGTCGAACAAAGGATNGATAAAGTTACACCATTAGGCTAGTCAGCGCTGACTAGTCTAATGGTGTATCTTTGACTTTCGAAAGATATACGCTCAGCTCGTTAGCACCCGGCTGGATCACTTGGGTCTAGAGCTTGGGATTGAGAGCAGGGATCTCCGGGGCCAGACCCCTCGCCAGTCATCGATGACTGTGCACGTAGTCAAATGTTCAGACTTTGTCGAACAAAGGATTCACGCACGGGTTCAAATCCCAGTGGATCGCTTTCAAGGCACCATTATCGGCTAATAGCAGCATTTTGTGGCGAGGGGTCCGTCCCCGGAGATCACTACACCCTATCAGATCCACTGGGATTGGCTACGAGCCGAGTGTATCTTTTATTGGATGAAGGCTGACCATTTGACTACGTGCACAGTCATCGATGAATGTGCACGTAGTCAAATGGTCAGCCTTTATCGAATATAGTGCGTACCGCTTTTTCTTCCAAGTTATCCTAAATCCATCAACAATCTCCGCCAGGAAAATAACGGAATGGCAGCATTACAGGCTTCAGGGTGGACAGAAAATTCGGTGTTCGTGCTAATTTTCGCAGTGTAGAAAAAGGCCGTTCACTTCGGAGTTCCATCACATCCCCTTCGACTGCCCTGCTGAGGCTGAGGTATTATCTCGGAAGGGTAGCACTGCTGTTGTCTCTCCTTGATTTATGTTTCTAAGAGGACAAAAAGACGCCTGCTGATTGGATGGTGCGGACAGTTCCAGTCCTGGGCGCGGCGGCCTTCCCGCTTGAGCCGCCTCTTGCCTAAAGTCCCTTATCAAATGGCCACGAGAAAACCAAGGAGCCATTGATATGAATGTACAGCAGACCACACCTGGCTGGAGCGTGATCAGGGCACGAAAAGGAGGGTTGCAAGATGTTCCTCTGGAGAGAAAAGCGAGATCTTCCAACCCAAGCTATATGGTTGCCCGGTGCCTCCTGTCATCGGTGGGCGAGGTGCTTCTTTCGCGCTTGGCCCTTACTTGCGCTTTCCGCTCCGAGCACAGGTAGACTCGGCGCAACTTCGCTGTTCAACCTGCGGTATCGTCCCGCGATCAGCCGCGATGCTCCCTTGCCATTACCCTCTTACTCCTCCTCTCTACAAAGCACCCGCACTGCTGCTGTAGACTTGTTACGCTCCCCGCGTGCCCCGGCAACCCCGGTGTCGACGATCTCGGATGCGGAGACAGCCATGTCACCATGCCATTTGTGGCGAGCTACAGCAGGCAGGCAAAGGACGGGGCCAAAGCCTGCCCCCCCCCAAAAAAAAATACACGATATACTACTCTGCAGCCCTACAGGCGCTACGGACTCAAAAGGTTTTGTGGCGACCTGTGTTGTTACCTATCCTCGGGTTTCGTACCTTCTCCTCCGTGGGCAACACGCCCACCAATAGAATGAATGAGAGGGCTGCTGACTGCGAGTAGACACAGTAGATACACGAACGGTGGGAAGGGAAAGGTGATGGCTCCGGCAGACCGGGCGAGAGGCGCTCGCCCATTGCAACCCTTCGTGTAGAATATGTGATACGTTGGCACTTGCCACACCTTCTGCTCTAGCCGCGGCAGAAGATCCTCCCCCGTTTGTCTCTTCACCATCATGTCTGGTGTGATCGTATTTCGTACAGTTATCGTTTCTCGGGGGTATGGTTCACAGGGTATTTACGGCACACGTCTGCCTGCAAGGCGGGCATCCGACCAACGGACGATCGGACAAGTCGTGTTTCGAGGAATAGATGACAAAGTACATGGCGCGTCGAGCGACGTTTTCTTGGCAAGCACAACAAACTCCCGCGCTCCCACCACATTTATCTCTCGGTGCCGTCACTCTCTGGGGTGCCTGCTACCGCTCCGATGCCACTTCTTTTTTTCATGCAGGAGCTAGACTCGGTCCGGAGACGTCTCAAGAGGGCCGGCATTGAGTGGAAAGGCGGGGGTTCTACCGGAGGAAGGCGTGGGGCTAAGGGGACGTCGTCCGTTCTGGCCAGTGGCATTACGCAGGCGAGGTGCCTGGTTTGATTTTTTTGGTAGGAGAGGTTGTTGTCCTCTGCAAGCGCTGCTTTTTTCATATGTTGGCGAGGTACGGACTTCGGAAAGTACTGAGCAGGGACGGCCCCGGTTTTTTTATGTGAAAACAACAACAACAACAATAACAACATTTTTTCGGAGGGCTTGTTGGAACAAACGCCTCGTGTTTTGTTGTCATGGAGAGATTCGCCGAAATGATATGCGTAGTGAGATTTACTTGCTTTTTGTTTTTCAGGAATAGAGAGCAAATTCCGTTGTATTCGATTCATGGCGACACTCACCCGCATACCATTTGGTGTTGCGTGTGTTTTTTGTTCCACAAAAGGATAGAAAAGGCTTCCTCTTCGCACCGCGGAACTATTCCGTCCTATTCTCCTTCTGTTTTTTTTTCCCCCACGCAGTCCCCAAATCAATCAGAAGAATTAGAACAACGAGGCGCGTAACTAAAGGATCGAGCTAGTATAACTCAACGGCGTAAGCGTCCAGATTAATGGGTGGTTTGTCAAGTTCGTTGTTTAACGAACACGTTTTTTAGCTTTTGAGGGACAGACAAGGGCGATGATGAAGCGATCTAGAAGCGTGTCGACTTCGGTCGCGTCCTTTCTCGTCAGTGTCCTCTCCAAGTTTGTCAAGCAGTGTCCAAAAAAACGCCGTCGTCAACAGGACGATATGTTCGGATCTTGGGAGGACTGGAAAGCACGCCCCACTCACCCTCCGTGATGATGCTGTCCAAAGCCCTGCGGGGACTGGCAACACCAATGGCCCGTCCTAAGCCGACTTGTTGAACTGCGCGAGGCCGTCTCTGTGCCGGTGTCGCTCCCCTCGACGTTGGGCTTTCTCCCTTTCGCCTCCTACGCGGCAAAAGGGGTGGCCCTCGCGCACAAGAAACGGCAATTTTCCCAAACAAGCTGTTGTTTCTCACAGCTAGTGTGGTCATTTCACAATTCCAGAGTAAGAACGGTTTTATCACCTCAGGAAAACCGTTGCCCTTTCTTTCACCTACCCACAACAAATATATATTTGTTCCTCGGGAAACTCTGTTGCCCTTTCTTTCTCCTATCCAAAACAATTGTGGTTTTGTATCGAAAATAATCGTTGTTTCGCCTCATGGAAAGTGTTGCGCTTTCACTGCGCCTTGAAGATTACACTAGAAACAAGACTAGAAACGATTTCTGGTACAATCGACCTCTGTAGGGTACCGTCCTCTTCGCCCCCACGCGAAGTCGAGGGGTGAAGGTACGAAGTTGATACGCGACTCCTACTGAAACCTTCGACTTTATTTGCTGCTTCTGAACAGGCCATGGGCGGCGGCGGGGCGTTCGTTGCGGTGCTGGCTCTATCTCAAGCCCTGCAGGGGTTTGCGCTGCGGGTGTCCTGCAGTTCACCGCTGGGATTACCGACAGCTCTTGGTGGGTCTTAAGGTGGCGGTTCCATACAACAACACGGCTGCGATCGATTGGCGAAGCAACGACGACGGTTTTGTTTACGCCTCTCGGCGTGCTGGTGGTGGTGGCAGTGTGCTTTCGAGGTCTCAATAGTTATTCGAAGTTTACAGAGGGCGTCAGCACGTCAAGGGCGACTTGCCGAACGACATAAGGTCGAAGCACCTCCATCTGGGACAGGAGAAATCCCAAGGTGACTGGCCAATCTGTTCGCGATACGGGCAACTCGTGCTCACCCTTTCACTCCCAAAGAGTTGCGTATATACAATCGCCGAGGGAATATGTGCTGCTCCCCCCACGCCAATCTCCACAGGTCTCGCTATGAGGGCTATGAAGGGGTTTCCCACGAGGGATATTGTCGTGGCCAGTTTGACAAGCGGAGAACTTGTTCACATGCCATCGCCCCTCCCCCCCCCCCCCCTCCGACAGGGTTTGCAACGGTGGCAGCGGCGTCTGTCGCCTCGGTGAGAGTCGCCGAAGGGATTTCCTCTGGGCTGGAGGCAGCCTCCAGTAAGGATAGTCAACGGATCTCCGACCCATGGCGATCAAGTGAGTATGGTCTGTGCGCTGCCCCCTGATATTTTGACCGTTTTCCCCGCTCCTCTGTAGTGAGCCGTTTTTCTTGTTTGTCACCGGTGTCGGAAGGCACAAACGGATCGACCGCGCGAGACTCCGAGGCTAAACGATATAGTTTCTAGTTTAGCACGCGGCGAGATGATTACCGTCTCGTTTCCGTTTCGGTTTGCCGCTCATCAGCCGACTGACGCCACTCGAGCGTCCAGGCTTCGTCGTTCCGCTGCGGTTTTTTGGCCCACGAGTTCAGAAGAAGGATAAGATTGACTGTTGTATTCCACCCTGACCGGCCTCTTCCATCCAAAAACGCCCCTGAGGCTTTCTTTTTTTGTCCCTCTTGCCTCCGATTTACTTGCCCTCGTCGCTGTACCACAACATACAGTGCTGGAGGCGGCGGAACAGCCAGCAAATAGCGGCGAGATAGGTGCCGGCGCATTCGGGCTGGTGCTGTTTCGGGCGCTGGGCGGGAGGTTTAGCTCGGTGGCCCCTAGCGCTCTTCACATGCCCGGAGCTTTCAGCAGGTGTTCGAAAATTTACGTGTTAGGCTACGGCCTGTCCCCGGTCTCCGCCAAGTGTTCACGCAACAAAAGTCTTCCTGTGCCGTTTGATTTCGAGAACAGTTCGTTCGCCGTATCCAACCACGCACGCACGCACGTTCAAAGGAAAGCGGACCTCGGATTGGAGGCAGCCCAGCATGAGCAGGGAAATTTATGTTCGGAAATTTACATGCCGGCTGTAGCCTCTTCCCGATCGCACTCAGTGCGTGGTACATTGGAGAACCGAGTCTTGTCCGACATGTTTTTGTCGTGGTATGGGCGTCGCGTGGGTCGTTCGAGTCTGAGTGTTGTTAGTCTCGCGCACGGGGCTTACGTCCACTCACGTGCCGTGCTTTTTGTTTGCTTAAGCGCAATACTGTAGTTCACCTTTATTAAGCCTGCTGCACCCTCGGGCGTGGTGGTGTCGTCTTGGCTTGTTGTAATCCTGTGCAACCGAGGGAACTGAACCATCATATGACGTCATCACCCTCGTGCAACTTGTCGCCACCACCACTTCAGAGACGGCTTGGCCGTCGAGCTAGCGCTTCCCGTTCTGGTCTTTGCACGGACACGCAATACGAGGCAGGTGACCACACACCCCCCTCCGCGTCCTGCCCAACCATACATGTCCTGCTCCTCTCTCTGTCTCTCTCTCTCTCTCTCTCTCTCTCTCTCTCTCTCTCTCTCTC